TTTTTCTTATGCCAATCTTTGAAAAAAGTGAAAAACAGCATCAAAAATCTCATTATTACGATTCCTTTCGATTTTTTTTTTAATTTTTTAAAAATATTTTTAGGCAAATTTTTTAAGCTTAAACCGTTTTGTCATTTGAGGGGATTTTTTCAAAAAATATCTTTACGAAACTATTTTTATTCTTATAAAACTCCATTTTTGGAGGTATTTTCAAATCGGTCCAGCTCACTTAAATCTTAATATTTTTTCGAAATATTTTTTGGTGGACGTCTTAAAATATAATAGATTTTATAATTTCAATGGAAAAACCGAACCGATTTCTTTTTGTTTTTTTGTATGGGGAGTGATGCAGTCTAATGCACATAAATATATATGTATGTAAACAATCTAACTTTGGCTTTTGAACGTTTTCCAGATTGGTCAATTTAATCCGTCATCCGATGGTCGGGCCAAGCTAATGAACTGCGAAGACTCTGTTGGAAACTCGGCAACGCACACAAATCCGGGACCAAAACAATCCGTAAGCTTAGAATGGCAGTCTCCGGTCGACTTCTTGGGTGAAGTTGTCTTTAAGTACGTTTTGTTTTTTTCGTAAACGCTAAATTCCAATATGGAGAATATTCAATTTAAAATATCTTCGCATTCTTTTACTTTTGACATTAGCGCAACTGTGGCCCAAGCATACGACTCATTTTGGGTCGGTATACCATCGAGTCCCGTACAAGTCGTGCGGCGCGAAACAGCTGGGGCTTATCCTCAGACCACACGCCTACCTTATGTAACACCTCCGCCGCGTGGAGTTTACGCACCACAGACAGAAGTACCGACAGTGAGAGAGTCCCAGGAAGATCCTTTCTACTCGGAATGTGGTCGAAGTAAAACTTGTTTCGGCTTTCCGAATGGCTGCATCGAGGATAAGTCTTGTAAATCATTATCGGCCATAACGGTACGCGGTGATGTGTATGAATTCGAAATGAAATCGGGACGTGGTAAGTATCAACTTCGTACACATCTAGGTACTTGATACGTTGAATTTACTATGTGCATACATACATACATTCATCTGAGTTAGAGTCCGACCGAAGGTAGATTTTTCGGCCGAAGCTGAGTTTTGATCTAAAAATTGGCCGACTACCAAGGCCGAAGCCGATGATTTACATTAAAACTAAGTAAGTCGATTTTTTTTTTTCAAAGAATAAGCCCCATCTTGCCTTTTTAAGTGTACATAAAATACAAAATACATAGAAACGTACATATTTATCTCTTTTTTATTCCAAAAAAAAAAAAAACATTTTCTTAAAATAATTGCAGTCACAGTTCAGTTTCTGTGCATAGTCATTGTTATGTAGCAAATATATTTGTTTATAAGAACTTCAATAATATAATAATATTTTGGTGCTTACACTTTTGCCAAGTGTTTGGCCGAGCTTCTCCTCGACTGTGATGGAGGGACCTGGATTTTATAAGAAGCTTTTTTTTTTTGGCAGAAATGCAGTCGGAGGTTTGCCATTGCCTACCGAGGGTCGACCACTGTTAGAAATATTTTTTTCTAATCAAGAATTTGTACGGACTGCGGATCGAAACCAAGTTCTACGGAGTGGTAGTACGCACCTCTAACCGGCCAGTCACAGCGGCCGCCCTGATGTTGGTTCTATGACCACTGGCGGATGGAGCAGTAAGATAATTTTCATAAACTGCTTTAAGTAACTTTTGGGAGCTAGTATTCCTATATTGAAAAATATCAGCACCTCTAAGAACTCTTTTATATGTACATATGTTTGTATATTCCTTAATTACAATTTCATAATTCTGAAGTTCTCACCTGAAAGTCAGCTGATTTTAAGAAAAAGTTGCAATACCATATTTTTTTTGAAACAGATTATTCACAATAAGTGCATACCTTTAAATTATAATACACGTTCAACAAAAAAAGTCTAGATAGCAAAAAGGTTCGGCTTCTGTCGTTTTTTTTTGCCGAATCCGAGCATTCACCGTTAGCTAATTTTTTACGTAACAATTTGCTGTGTTTGAGTTTAAGGTAATTTTTAAGTTTTTAGCAGATTTTTTGGGTAATTTTATTGCCATTTTTAGCTGAAATAACTTTTTATTTTTCAGTTTACATTATTACATTTTTCCATGAAATCCTTCTCTAGCAAATTGTTTAATGTTTTTCAGTTTACAAGGTTTTACTTTTTTGGCTCCTTAAAATATCTGGACTCGGCGGGAAAGGTGCACATTAAAAAGTTGATTAATTTGTCAACAGTCGTTGCTTGAGCTCATATACACTCTTTTGCCCGAGTGCCAGGCCACTTGCTCAATTTGCTGAATACCATTTATCCCAGTGCGAAAATGTAATGTATAGTAATAAAAAAAAAAAAATAATCATTAAAACAACCCTTTTCACATTCGAAAATGCATTTTTTCCCCAGGGCCAGTCCTAAGAAAAGTGGGGCATTCAATTTTGCAGTACCTATGATCGAGAAATGAATGTGTTTTAATATGAAATTTTTGGAATTTGAGAATGTGTTTTAATATGAAATTTTTGGAACTTTTTGAATACATTAGAATGCTGATTACATAGTTATCAGTAATGTAATCGAAAACTGATAAGACTGGGATGTTATACCGTAATAATTACGCGCTTTGTGATGCGACGAACTAAATCACCCAGTCGGAGAGTAGAAAGGTATTACATGCGTTATAAAATCAAGAATAATAGGTCGTTTTTTTTTATATCCAAGACTCTGTTTTAACCGACAATTGATAATTTTTAACGATGAGTGAAAGGTTTATTGCGTTCATTCATATCGTTCATTCTGCACGAGGTTTATACCCGAACAATTGCTCGAAGTAAGATTTAGACAAGGTTTTCTTTCTACAGTCCGACGCGGTCTCATATGTATGTATGTATGTATGAAATGACATTCGATTTCTTTACAGATGGTGCCGCTTATATTGCATTGGGACTTTCGGAGGACGCTAAAATGGGCGAAGATCTGGTAACCGAGTGTGTGCCACAGAACGGCAGGGTGAATTTGTACTCATCCTACACATCGGGCGCACCAAATTATGGTTCCAGCAGAGCCAATGTGGTAAGAAAATAAAGTACACATACATACATACGTATGTATGTAGGTACATAGTGCTGTTAACGAAACGGTACTATAAAATTTTCATTCCCATTTTCAAGCCACAAAACGGGGCTCGTCTACTTCAATCGTCAGTCATTGATGGTGTCATCTATTGCAAAGTGCAGAGGGATGTGGTCACTCAGGTGCGGGGCAAACGATTCGATTTGCTCAATAATAAATATCACCTTTTGCTAGCAGCTGGCACGGCACTGAAAGGTGCATCATCTTTGTATATATCTATGAGTGCAATAGTTGTTTATTGTTTTTGTTTTTTTTTCGTTGCATTACAGATAATAGTGTTGGGTACCACGACATCGGCCGCTTGCCATCTGGCAGTCCGATAAATTTGGCAGTCGTTCAGGCCCTGACCGGTTCATCTACGTTGCTGTTGCGTTTGCATGGCGCCTTCATGGTGATTGCATGGATCGGCACAACGTCATTGGGTATTCTATTAGCCCGTTATTTCAAGCAAACCTGGGTGGGCAAACAGACTTGTGGAAAAGATCAATGGTTTGTGGTAAGTGCGTAGCGAATGGAAATCTATGAAGATTTTTAAATTTTAGTATATAAACGTAAAAAATACATTTTCAAAATAAGGAACTTTGGGCCTTTTTGTATAGATAACGATCATGTGTACTTATAGGTGGCATACACAGAGCGTCTGACTCGAGCGAGTCGGTTTGAATGTGTTTGTGTTAGTTAGACCGACATGACTCCTGGCATGACTCTGAATGATTCAACTGTGTGTAGTCGCGGGCGAGTGAACAAGTACGCAAATGACTCGCGAGTCAGACGCACCGTGTATGCCGCCTATTGCCAAACACCAAACTATGTGGATCATAAAATATATGTAGATTTTTTTTTTTTTTTTAGTGGCATCGCGTTTGTATGGTCACCACCTGGTCACTGACGGTTGCTGCTTTCATTATTATATTTGTTGAAATTGGCGAGTGGTCAGGGGAGCGTAATCCACACGCTATTCTTGGCACTATAACGACCATCATTTGTTTCATTCAGCCAATAGGAGCTCTCTTCCGGCCAGCACCGAATTCCAAAAATCGGCCAATTTTCAATTGGGCTCATTGGCTGGGCGGCAATCTGGCCCACATATTGTCGAGTACATACATACATACATATATATAGCTAATATTCGTATATTAAATGACATAATTTTCTGGCAGTTGTCACAATATTCTTCGCTGTCAAGTTGTCTAAGGCTGAGCTGCCCGAGTGGATGGACTGGGTGTTGGTGGCGTTCGTGGTGGTGCATGTAATTGTTCATTTAATCTACTCAGTAAGTTGGCCCGAATCAGCGAAATTTGTTTTTTTTTTCTGGGCAAAGGGCCATTGATTAAATTTTAAGTTGTTATTGTGCCTGCAGATAGCCGGTTGCTTCTCGGACCGCCAGCAGGCGCAGCAGGCTAATGCCTTTCAAATGAGCGATATGGGGCACCATGGCATGCGCAATGGCCACAGGATGGACCACAAACTGGACGCACCGGTAGGATAGGAAGCACAAAACTTTCTTTATTCATTCGAATATTAAACCATTGTTTGTTCTGTTTCAGTATGCCAGTTTTCGCAAGGGTCTTTTGGCAGCCTATACTGTAATACTGATACTTTTTGTTGTTGCCCTGGTGCTAATAGTGGTACTGGCTCCAATCGAAGAAACTGTCGATCAACTTAGCGGCAACTGAACAATTTTTCATCCGTATTAAGGGCCATTGAACGTATTCATACATATATGTACATACATACATACATACATATGTAACTGAAGAAATCGACAACCTGAAAACAATAAATACCAAGGGAACATGCTCAAGTCTACAAGATGTGGAACACACACACGCTAGTGCTATGCTAAGCCTCCATGCAATTTAAGCTATATAGTATGTATATGTATATTTGTTTATAATTCGTTGTACTTGTACCTCAAAGCATTTTTAGCGTAAGATTTTACTATGCTTATGAACATACAATCATTTACCATACATACTTTTAATATTACCGTTTATTGTTTTATCAAGAGATTTATTGTAAACTGTTGAAATAATTTATTCCAAATAAAAATTTTATTTTATACAGATTGGATGTTTAGTATTTTTTTTTTTATTAATAGCAATTTAATCGCACGCACACATGTGTAAAATGAGTCCATGATTATTTGGCCATTTGTGCAGAGATCAAAAATAAGGCATATTTTGATTTTTACTGGTAATAAAGACTTTCCGATCATACTAATCGTTATTTTATGGTTTTTGTTTTTTTTTTTCGATTTTCAACTATTTTTCGATCATACTACCTTTTTGAATCTCCTATGATCTAAAAACAAAAATCATAAGATACGATCATGATAAAAATATAGTAAGGTAGAACCGCTGAGAGTCACTTTTAAAATTCTTGACGTTTCCAAACAATTTAATTTTTAAATTTACTCACAAACTCACACACACATTTTCATTTTCAATCTCAAGCAACAACAATTTCGAACAATTTCAATTTTTTATTTTCACTTTTATATGATTTTAAAATGTTGGCAAACTTCAAAAAAAATCTGGCCGACAAATTGAGAGAACGGTTCTACCTTGCTATGCTTTTATCATGGATACGATTAAGCATGATAAAAACATAACAAGGTAAAACCATTGAGAGGCAGTCTGACGTTTGCCAACAATATAATTTTAAAATCAAAACTCAAACTCACACACACATTCTCATTTTCAATCTCAAACAACAACAATTGTGAACAATTTAATTTTTTTATTTTCAATTTAATATGATTTTAAAATGTTGGCAAACGTCAGAACAAAATCATGGCCGACGAATTGAGAGAATGAATTTACCTTGTAATGTTTTTATCATGCGATTAAGTATGATTGAAAAATAGAAATCCAAATTTTCATGGTTACACTACGATTTTTACGACTACGGTCTCTGGATTTGCTTTTACTTTGCTATATATCTCAATTGCCTCCTTAAGGCATGGTACAATAAAAACAGGTAGAAGCCAAATTGACATCAAACCTACAAAAGTCAAAGTTTTTGGGAGAGTAAAAATAAAAATGAGCGTGTGTAAGGAAAAATACAAAATTACATTTCGCTGGTTGCCGTTTTTGAGTAAATTTGAAGTTTTGTTTTTATTTATTTATTTTCTTTAGTTAAAATTTGTTAACTTGTATGTTTTCTGTTTTTGATTTATGAGTTGCGGTGTTGTTGGAGGGACTTTCCGGCATAAGGGTCATAGGAACAGCACTTGGCATCAAACGTGCCTTTCCTGTACCTCCCGGTGCATTTATGAAATCTGCTGCTTTAAAATGTTTAACGCACAGCAAGGCATTTCGCTGCAGCTCTACCCCACAGCTGCTTTCCCAACGCTCCTTACGCCAAGGACATTGAGGCACGTTAAAAAAATGAGTGGTGGCTTCTTTATATTTAACACCACATAAAAAACAGCGCTTCAGGTGTTGCATTTTTAACAAATACACTAAGTATAAACCGCACAAGACTACAAAAATTCAAATGCTAATTAAAATTTGTCATTAACGAAAATTCAAAAAAAGAACGACATGTCACTCAAAGCGTAACGAAATGTAGGAAATAAAAGGAAAACAATTTGAAGTTTAAAGGTTTGGTTATCATGAGAGCAACGTCATTTTGGCTTCTACCTGTATTTATGTGCCTTGTCCTTAAGGTGCTGGCCCAATGCAGGCTTGCTTTGCTTGCTTCGCTGCGAGAAGTGTTAAAAATGATTTGGAATATATTAAAACGTATAAAGGCTGGCCAAATGGCAGCTTTTCTTCACTTGCTTTAAGCGCCTCTAAGTTTGAATTAGGCAAATGTTTTATTTGAAAGCGTTTTGTAGGCTTTTGGCAAAGAGGTATGTTCTTTTCAAAATACATAAATTCAAACAAAAATTTGCTTACTTAATTTAAAAAAGCCACAGAAAATGCAGGTAATTCGAAATGAAATAAAAATGATTTATTGTTTCCAGGAAAAAACTTCTTCTTCAAGTAAATCGCTTTTTTAAGTCATAGTTTTGTTAGTAAATGTAGATATAGATATGTATGTATCATTATTATCATTTCTTTTAAATACAAACATTATTTCGCATTAATTTAAAAATTAATCTGAAAGTTTGTCATACATTTCTTAGAGTTTTCTATGAAATAATTATTAACGTTAACGGAACAGACATTAGGTTTGTTCGTCGAGCAAAAAATTTGTACGAATTTGTACGAATTATCACGATTTTTGCCCAAATCGCGTTCGTGCAGACCAAAAAATTATCCAACACTCAAAAATTGTGAGAGCAAAGTGACAGTTGTCTTGGAGAGAAGTTGCAAATTCTTGCTGGAAAAAATTTTGCCAGCAAGAATTTGCAAACACGAAAAACATGTGGTTGTGGCGCATGGTTGCATTTTTGTCTACAATAATTTGAATAAATTAGTTCGTTAAATTTAAAAATTTATAAACACGAGCGATTTTTTTATGAAAAAAGGAAGTAAATAATTGTTGATATAATTAATTTAGTTAATTCCAATGATTTGAACTTAATTCGGCTGAAAAAAATGGTATTCGCAATCGGAATGCAATTGCAACCAGAGTCGATTTAAGAAACCCGACAGCTAGTACGATGAAGAAATTGAAATGTATGTTAAAGAAAGTCAGAACAACAAGAAATATACATGTATATCCTGTTTTTGGCCATCCGAAAGAATTTTAAAAATTCTATAAAAATTGTTTATGTTTGAAATGCAACCGTGGACGCCAGCTGGCAGCGAAACTTGCAAACTCCTGCAAATTTGCGTTCGTGCAGAAATTTGCAAGTTTCTCAACATGAGAGAGAATTTGAGAGAAATTTTTCTTATAGGGCATTCGCACGAGGCGATTTTACAGGCAACAAAAGTTGAATACGAAGTTGAATGAGAAGTTTAAAGTGAAAAAGTTGCCATCCCTATTCAGACGAGGCGATTTTCGATTAAACACGAATCGTTATTTACATTATTGAAAATGAATTTAAATCGCAAAATTTGATCAATTGGCATAAATTTGGTAAGCCAAGCGTTGGTAGAAGTGCTTTTAGCGAAGCTGAAAGATAAAATAAGAGTAAAAAGGTAAAAAAGAAAAAAAAGTATGATACAGAACAGTGTTGGCATTTTTGGTACAATTGTACTTGTTTTATACAATTTCATTTACAATATACTTTCCTACTACGCAGTACTTTTTAGTAAAATTTTGTAATGAATACTAAAAATATATAGCTCTGAAAATTAACAGCAAGAAATTTTTTGTATTCTCTTTGGTTCGCCTGTTCGTATTGTAAGTTTTGAAAAATGGCTTCAACGAACCAGTATAATATAGCCTAGTCAAATTTTTAAAGAAACTTTTCGATACTAAGTTTTATTAAAACAAAATGTCGAAGTCAGCTTCATATAGAAACAAAATCTTCGTTCGTTATAAGAAGAGATTTTCGTAAATATAATACCTTTACGGCACTCACATATTGACAAGATTTTACTATTTATTTTATTATTCTTTAATTTTAATTATCTGTTTATAAAATATAATGTATTCTTTAAGAAAAACTGTACAAACCTAAGATTAAATCTTTGCGAAACATCCAAAAACCAACATACTTTCGTAAAAATTTCGAGCTTTATTAATATTCTTTAGTTTTTAGCCCATTCAATTTTAGTATAATAAAGTTCAAGTTTAAAGTAGCTGGGACTTACCGTTGAACTTGGCATTTTTTTTGTCGACGATGTCAGCCATTTTCTTCCATACGAAGTGTGTCCGACGATTTTTTTATATGGAGAAAACTAGCAACACCTTCATCAAAGAAATCTTAAAAAACTTAGTTATATTAAAATTTAATGGGCTAAAAAACCGCACGCTCAAAATAAATCTAGGAAATCGAATTAAAAAGCTCGAAATTTTTACGAAAGTGTGTTGGTTTTTTTAATGTTGCACAAAGTTTGAACCTTGAATTTGTACAGCTTTTCTTAAAATATAAACCGTATTTTTACAAAAAATAATTAAAATTGAATACTATTAAGATAAATGGTCAAATCTTGTCGTAAAGTTTTGATAAGCACTTAAAATGCTATTAAAATGTCAAATTTCAGTACTGAATCCAAAGGAAAATGTCTCTTTTATCCATTAATAATAACTTAAATATGCTTTTTGTTAAGATGTATACCTGAAAATGTGTGCATACATATTTGCGTTAAATGCAGTACATGTGCACGTGGAATCAATTTGTAAAAGTGTAAACTACGTAAACGTATGTACATAAACAATAAAACTCTCTCATGAATACCATAAATTCATTGGTCTTGAAGGGAATGCACTAAGAAAATATATGAGCGAATTAAAAAGTGTATACAATTTATAGCCGAAAAGTACATTTTTTGTATAGATTTCGTACTGAAGGAACAATTTAATTTCCCAACACTGATACAGAATGTAAACAAACACAGGGTTGCAAGGAAAAAAAGTTGAACGAGCTCAAAGTTGGCTGGCGACCAACTTTGTTGAAAGCGATTAGTTGAAAGGCCGTTCGGACGAGGCGATTTTTGCTTTCAACTAAAAGTTGCCTGAAAAATCGCCTCGTGCGAAAGCCCTATTACTCTCTGATATTTTGAGTGTTGGATAATTCTTGCTGGATTTTCGACGAACAAACCTATTGACTTTTCAACCAGACAGCTGGTTACTTTGACAGCGTTCCAAGCCACCATTCGGCCAAGCAAGTTTTCAAAGTGAATCAAACCAAATTGAAGTCAGCAAGGCGCGCAAAGCAAGCCTGCATTGGGCCAGCGCCTTTAGTCCAAAACAAGGTAGAAGTGATTTCGACATTTCTCTCTTTTGAATGGCGACTGAAATGTCAACTCTTAACCCTATACTATTCAAAATTTTTTCGTTATATAAATTTTCAATTGTGAGCTGTGCGATTGATTTTAAATACATAATAAAATGGAAAGGAATTGCGAGCGGTGCGTTGTGTTTGTCAAGAGCCTGGACAACAAATTTGTGCGTTATTTTAAACCTTCGAATTGTCAAGTGAAGCGACAACGGTGGGCAAATTGCTGCAATGTTTCATTAGGGGACTCTTCACGTGTGGTCGTGACTTTATTTGTTGCCTATCGCAGTCGAGTATTTCTAAGTGGACGCGTTTGGTCCCAGGTGCAGGGTTTATCATACTGAATATGAAAAGAAAATCTCCCTTTCATATATGTACATACATGGATAGGCCAAATTTCAAATATTGGTCTGATAAAACCTAAATCAGTATTCCTTGTTGACATAAAGAAACTGAAAGTAATTTTTAATAAATTTAATGGAAAGGAAATTTCGAATAGCAAAAATTTAATATCTAAATTATTGAAGTTGAGTTCAGATGTAAATTTAGAAGAATAAAACTTTTTCTTAATATTCTTTAGAATTATGCATTTGAATAAAAAAATAAATGCTCAATAACATTGGGATAGTAAAAGCAAGAAAATTGTCAAAACGGTTTTATAAATGAGTGTGTTTCATTTAGTGTGTAATTTTGTGTAAGTATGCATTTCCACATTTACATTAAACCGAAAATTCAGTAAATAAAATGAAGCTGATTCTAATGAGATTTTAAATATTTTCATATTTACAAAAACTTTCATTTCAAAGATGTTGACTTCTATCAAATATGTTAAATGCATAAAAAAGGGTTAATTTCTTTGTTTACATTTTTTGACATTACAGTCAAGTATGAGAGAGCTCGACTGAATTGCTTACAAATATGCTCGCAAAACAACAAAAATTAAGTACAGTTTAAATTTTTGTTTTTTAATCAGTTTATTTCAAGGATTGGAAAATTTCAATGGACATTCTAGTGTTGCTTGATATTCTCAAATATTGGAGATCTGCGCTGGTCGCTATAATTTTTTTAAATATTCGCTATTCTCTATTTGAGATAAATTATATTAATGTCCCGTAGAGACAAACCATTGGTTTTAGATTTTTGTATCCAAGTCGAGATCGACAGCTGAGTGAAAGATCGATAGATAAATTATATAGTAGACCTTGCAAATCCAGGTACCTATTCACAATACGCCAAATCTTGGAAAGACAAGCGAGAATAGGATCGACACATAGTCGATTTCAAAGGCGTTTTCGACAGCACGAAAATAAGTTGTCTTTATGCAGCGATGGCTGAATTTGGTATTCCGCGAAACTAATGCGGCTTAGTCACAATTGGGAAGGACCTATCGGAGCCGTTTGATACCAAATGAGGTTTCAGACTCCCTAACGTATGTATACATATTTATAAATGTATGTACATTATTTCTTTAATAAATAAAACACTAAACTTACTTTTTAAGTTTAAAAATTTGATATTCTGATGAATTGGACACTCGGTTATAATGGACAATTTGACGCGGTTCCGTGGATTCCATTTTAACCGGATTGCACTGTATCTGGGATACTCAACTCCAGTTGCCGTCTGGGCCGATGGAATTGGACAAAATAAGTATATTTATTGTTGTTGTTGTGTACAGGTGTCTGAATGTGTGGGGACTTCATTCGGACGGATCTTGTGTGCCTATTGAAAAGTAAGCTGCGTCTGGCCCCGTTTCTTTCCATGGTGCTCAGCTAATTTTTTGCAGAAAGTTAGTGTGCCATTACGGGTCCGAGTGTTTTCCTTTGTGGCCGAATATCGTCATGGTCGAATTTCTTCGCTACGCTTAGGCTATGCGGCAATACGTTTTGTGTTTACTGGCTTTATGGTCCTTAGAATTGTAATCGCTAGTCGATTTATGCTATCGACAACCGAAGTTCACAATTCAAATTCACAATTTAAAGTTTTTCCTAGCGAGTATTGCAATTCGTAATCTTCGTGTGAAAAATTGTAAAATTTTTCAACTGTTTCAAATAATGCAAATAGCGATTTTCTTCCTGTGTATTTTTTTATTTTCATATACTTGACACGTTTTAATCTATTTTAAGAAGTTTGTTTTACGGAGTTCAAAATAATTTTGATGTTTTTAGATAGCTGGTTCGTCCACAAACAAACCACATATTTTTTTATTACAAATCATCTTACATTATTTTATGTGTAAATTGGTTTTCCCCCGGTAAATGTAAAATCATCGTTCTTCAAGTACGGCTTTCGCTTGTGGAAACAATTTCAGTTCTTCTAGCGTTTTGTTAGGATCGATAGCTGTTAAGTCGCTACGTGGCCAACTCGATATAAGGATTAATTTATTTTCTTCTATAAGATAATTATTCGCAGCTACGAAATTTAGGATATCCTGAAAAATTTTTAAAATCAGAAATTTTGCGTTACATTTTTTACTTTTTATTTTTAACCGACTTCAAAAAAGGAGGAGGTTATCAATTCGTCGGAATATTTTATTTATTTGTATTTTTTGTTACCGCACAATTTTGGACCACGTTAACCCTCCGGTACTTCCGAGGTTTAGATCCGAACAAGGGATTATGAAGAAATTAACGGTGCTCTTAAAATTTGTATATGGGAATTGAAGTCGGTTTTGTTTTTTGCTTAAAAATTACGTGTTTTTTTTCTGAAATCCACATATTACCTGCAGTGTGTTATATTTATAGAATCTTCGTTCTAAAAAACTCCCCAGAGGGTTTCTGAATACGTATTGTGGAGACATTCGTTTCAGACTCTGAAGGTTCTTGCGGCAGAGATTGTTGGGCCTAAAATGAAAATTGTTTTGGTGAACATAATAAGTGGCATTGTTGTTGTTGTCGTAACAGCATATAAATTCCCCAAAGAGTTTTTTTTGGGGAATGGCGCTGGAGTGATACTTGGCTAGATATTAATCTGGGTCGTTCCGGCTACGTAGACCCGAATGTCATGTGAACGAATAAGTGACATACAACATATCTTAAGCGCAATGTTTACGGCTTACCACTAATCGTATCGATTCTCGTTTCGCATCTTCCTCTGCCTTTTCCGACTCCAATCGTTTGCGTTCTGCAGCGATTGCTGCTTCTTTCTGTCGCTTGGCAGCATCTTTCGCCATATCAGCTTCCAACGTCTCACGATAGGCCAAATCCTGCTCAGCCTTGACTTGATCACGTTCAGCTCGTTCATCTTCTTCGCGTATTTCATCTTTCAACTGTAGTTTGTACATTTCCACTGCATCCATGAGGCGCGACAAAAATGAATTTAAATCTGAATTTCCTGGCAAACCATACACAACATTAATTTCGATAAGCTACAGCTTGCAACTTTCGTTTCTTACCATCAACAATAGAAATCACCTCGCACGATGACCTTCCAGATAGCCGACTTTTGCCAATAATTAATAACGAAGGCAGCTTGTCTACTGGTTTTGTACTAATCGTTATGGATGCAGTATTACTCACACAGGCAGTGACCGAAGATAAAAACCTGTAACGTAATTTTATACGAATCATCAAAAATTTTCTTCTCAATCTATTCATTTTGGATTAGATTTTTACTAACATATTTTTGTTCGTTTCAAATGTTAAGTCCCATCCGTAGAGTATAAAATTTTGTGCAAATGCTTCAATGATTCTCTCGTTTTTCATTACTTGATCACAGAATACATTTGTGAGAATGCTATCACCATGATGTAAATAAATTGCAAGCAGTTTTCGCTAAAACATATAGAGAAACCAAGAGGACATTTAGTTAAGTAGTTATTAATAAATTCGATTAATTTATTACTTCACGCGCAGGTTTGTGGCAAGCTTCTCTGATTGCATCTTCTAAACTGCCGACATAAAAGACGGGATGTGGTTCTCCGAAACGTTCACGGTAGTTATCAAAAAACTCTATAGAACCAGCACATTCATTGCCAATGTTGTTTGGAACTGTGAACATATGTTGATAAATTTATATATATTTTTCAATTAGAAACTGGTACCAAAAATTCTTATTTAAAAAAAAAAAAATAATAATAATTTAAAGTAATTACTCAAGTGTCTACTGCGTGGAGGAACAGGCTGTTCATCTTGCAATGGATCATATCCGTCCTCGTCGTCTAAACTGTTGTCGTCGTCAGTCTCGATGGTATTACTGAAAAAAGAAGAAGTGCTTTCATTTGTACTTTCTATGGTCAATGACTTACTTGCTGGCATTAATGTTGTTAGAATTTCCAACGATGTCCATACTCTTATCACTTGCATTTCGAAGTGTAAAATTATGAGACAAACCAATACCAGATTGCTGGAGGAAGTTCGAAGAATCGAAATGGAAAAAATACGTGAGTTTTCTCTCGTCACATAAACATTAAAAACATTGACAATGGAATTTTAACTTACAGCTAAAGTTAAGTTGTCATCACAGTTAGAGGGCCAGCCTTCCCATTCCTGATTACGTACATTTATATTACTGACATAGTACACCTTTGTCTTCACTTCCAAAATAGTGCTACTACCTAAAAACGGCAAAGTTATTGTTTTACCGCTCGGTTGCTCTACTATGGTCAAGTTGAATGTGTCGCGAAGTCTATGTGCGATTTCCTCACTAAAAAAAATGGAGTTAATACATATACATATATGACATACACTTGATGGGAATAGAAACGTCTTACTTTTCTGTGTCAACGTAGCCTTCTTCGCTTAAGTTGTGCAAAATTAAATCGTTTTCTGGACCTAAGTCTAAATTGCATAACTGCGTAGTAATTTTACGAGCATCCTGTAGTTTTGCTGGCGGCCACCCGCGAATTGCTTGTCGACAAATCGGTACGTTTGTTTCTTCCGATATTTTCAATTTCAGTTGTTCTGAGCAATAGAAAAAATAGATAAGGACTTGTTCGCAATAGTCGGGTTAACTGCCACCGAACGATTCCGGAAGATATAATTTGTATTACGTACCAATTGTAGCAATTGATGGCAGACGAATAGTGTAGACTGATTCATTGTAGTGTATGTTCAGCACCAAAGTTTTAACATCGTTGTGCCTTGCCGGGTCCAAATCCATATCTGACGTGAGATCAATTATTTCAGCGTCTGCAGAAGTGGAAGCTAAAATGAATAAAATTGAACTAATTTACATAATGGTTTTTGTTTATTTCTTTCTTGTGATTTTAGATTCAGTGATAGAACGTCCGCAATGAAAAGAATCTTCAAAAGGTTAAACATTTCAGAGGCACTATATATCTGAATTTAACTTTAACTCTTTCGTTGCCGTTGGGGGAACAATAAAATATTCACAGCCGTTACTAATACCGTCACTGAATTGCAAAAAGTCGTGACAAATTACCCTTTTTAAGCAAACGGTTTTGTGGGGGTTTTGAATTTTGCATTAGTTAGGACTTTTTGCATTTTATGTGATTATGTATGTATTTATCTACATATGTACGCTTGGACGTACCTTCTAAGCCCTGATTGGAAGCACTATTAACGCTCCATTGGCGACAGTTAGATGATCCTGCATTTGTGGATAAATCGTTAAGAGCCGTTGTGTTCGAGAAACCTGATGTATTTTCCCTAACCGCTGATGTTTGATTTAGCCCATGTGAAGGTACATCATCCTGAGGTATGACTCGCTGTATAGCAACCTGAAATTATGTCATAATGAGAAAAGTTGAGACAAAAAATTTCAGGGAACTTACCATTAGATCCCAGTTCGTCTCCTCCAAATGCGAAAATGCTTCACCAACATCATCTATTCCAGTAATGCTCTATAAAAAAATTTTTACACGGTTTTGTATATCTAATTGTATTATATACATACATATGTATATAAGTAGAACATGCTTATATATGTATCTATTATTCATAATTTGAGAGTTTCCCTATCAGTTATTGACGGCAGAAAAATTTGAAATAACTAGCCGCTGTCTAAGTAGTGTTTAAATAGTAGTTTTACAAAGAAACTGCTAAAAAACATACTTATGTACGCAGTATTTTTAACACTTCCGAGTTATTTTTGTAATACATACATACATAGGTACTTGTTAAGCGATTCAGATGTTTTCGGTAACTTCTAGGGCGTCTTAAATTGGAAGTTTTTCTTAAATTATGCCATTTGTGATACATATATGTATCTTTTAGAGCGCACATGAACACCATTTAAATAAACAGAAGTTTGTAGGAAAGCTCCATATCAGACTGCCAGTCATGTGCATATGTATGTAAATAAGTATGCAGGCATGAACACACGTATGTATGTATACCCTGCATCTACATGTTTATTTTTAATTCACTCCAGAAATTTGGGGTTTTGATTTATGTACTATATATTTTGAAATACAAATTTCTCACCAATAATGCAAAATTTATATTTTAAGTCTACCTGAAAAGTCGCCAAAATCTCGTCTTTGTTCTCCGACATTTGTATTTTTTTTCGCTATTGCTTGATGCTTGTTGCCTCTATAGATAACCCTTAAAAAATGTTGCTTCTGCTTTTTTCTAAAAATCGTTAAGCAAATCAATATAGCTTTAAACACCGTATAATCGCGCAGAAAACTAAAGCAAAGTATGTTTAATTTAGAAAATGTATTATTTTTTGTGTTATAACAACACGCATTGAAAAACTTCACTTCCCATGAATTGGAGAAAAACTCGTTCGTCTCAATTGCAGTGTTGCTCTTTTAAGAAAAAATCCCCCAAAAAAGATTTTAAATGTCAGTATAAAGTGAGGTGCATACGAGACAATATTTGCGTGAACAATAGGTGCGTTCGACAAGTCAAAAATTTGTAATAGTTTTTCCACATTTTTACTGGATGGCGTTCGAAAACGACAAAAAATTATGCAACACACAAAAATTGAGCGTTCATTTTGATGCAAGAGAAGCGTTCATTTTGTAATGGCAAAATTTTAGTCAGCAAAAATTATCCAACACGAAAACATATGATCACAAAACATATGGTTGCAATTTTTGTAAACAAACATAAGTGCATTTTCCGAGAATTGGTATTTATATGCTTTTTGGCTGCCTGCTATGTGACTTTATGATAGCGCCAACTAGTTTTACTTCTAGAAATGTTCCTGGCGAACATCGAACGTTCACTTTCCTTTTTTCTCCTATGGAGGCAACATGAATTTCAGTTTGTTTACAAATAAAACATAAACAAAGTCAGCTGGTGTGTCTTCTTCTTCCGGTTTTTGCAAGTGATGGCTAATTTCCTGTTCGTTTACTTTTTTGCTTTTTCATCTCTTTGGGAGAGAATTTGATATTAGTATGCAAATGGTGATATTAGTATGCAAAATATCAAATATAAAAGTATGACAGCAACAAAGAGTCAAATCGTATTTATGTAGTCAAAAAATGTGTGTAGGTTGTATACATACATTTGTCAAAGGCTCAGTTAGGCATACCATCCTCTTCTTTCGATTTTAAAAAGCGGAAGGTATTTGGCACCTGCACATTTTCCAGAGAAAATTGTTTTTTTTTGAAGAAAAGATCATCATGAAAAAATTCAGTTCACCGCAAACTATCCTTTTATCTCAGGAATCGATGAGTTTAATTGCTGACAAAAAGCTATAGAACAGATAAAACATATTGCTTCCTCACCGACATAATGCTTCTAAACCATTATTAACCTTAAACATTATAAAATATATTTTAACAGCAAACTATAACTCTTTTTCGACATAGCAAAAAATTCTTTCTTTTATTGAACAGTAAACTTTCAGTTGTACGCGGCAACTGTTAGCAGTTGAGACTAGAGCCGTGCGCCTGAGTGATTTTGGCTCACGTTCGCGCACGCTCATGATGATGATTTCAAAAGTGAAGCACATTCACGTTTGGCTTTAGTCGATTAAAAAAACTAAGGTGTCAAAATAAAGATAATTAATTTATATTTCCTTCCATGTACCTAATTTATATTCCTTTTCATATTTTAAAGCCAAAAATCCTGAAAACACGAAAATATATCGTGATTTTTTAATGAAGAAACCTTTTTTTGAAAAAATTACGTGATTAATGCCCATGATGCAATAAAACAAGGTATTGGATGTTGGCAGCTTCTTGCTCTAATTCCGCCATATTGACTGCCTTAGGTGAAACAGTGTTACTTCTTTAACAATTCTTTGCATTAAATGTAGTTAAATGCTTTTTATTTTTCATCGGTATAACATATTTTGTTTTCTTAAAAAAGTATTTTACCTTATTTTATTTTATTTCATTACCAATATACTATAAAAAAGCAAATTTTGTTTAGGAGAACATATGTAGTTTTATATTTTTCCCCCAAACGGGGATTAATTTCTTCCCATTTTCCTTCTTATTCTGCTGAGCTAAGGCAGCATTCAATGGAGCTGTCACAACGTCCAACAGTTTGTTTTATTGCATCATGGGATCTGATAACACCACCTTGTATAAATTCGCCTTTCACATACTCAAGGCGAATTTATACAAGGTGGTGTTACTGGCGAATTTAGATTACAACAACAACAACCACACGTATTTTGTATTGAGGGTGTTATGTCAAATCTCGATTCGCCCCAAAGTTCGCATGTATTTTGTTTTTGCTTTTGATGGGTATCAGTGGGGAAGAAGTCAGCTGATTTTACAACACCACCTTGTATAAATTCGCCTTGGAACATGCTCCTGTAGCCAAGGCGAATTTATACAAGGTGGTGTTAGTGGCGAATTTAGATTTTCGCCGCGGTACTTCCTAATGTCAAAATGATGTGTTTGTTGTAAACAAGCTGAATTCATATTACAACAAACACATCATTTTGACATTAAGAAGTACCGCGGTATAAATTCGCCTTGCATGATATCGAGGTGTTACCGGCGAATCCGAATTTTTCGCCGTGGAAAGCAAAAAGAAAATACATACAGTGGTCAACAAATTTTGCTGAATCACTTTTTGCCAAGTTGTAACGTATTATTTTTGTTGTTCTTTAATTTTGGTTTTTTTATAAAAATATAGTTCATTCATTAACAAAACCCGCGTAAATCCAACTTCCAACTTTGTGCAATGTTAAAAAAATTCAAACACCTTTTGTACAAATTTCAAGCTTTTTTAAAAATTCTAAGAAATCAACCGTAATTTTTAGCGATTTGAAAGTCGTACTTTATTCTACTAGACTTCAATAGACTACAAAACTGCATGCTCAGAATCTAATTAAAAACTCGAAACTTGATTTTTTTAATGCATACATTTTTAAGGCAGTGTCACTCGATTCGTACATTTGTACAATTTTGTACATTTTTATATTTCAACAAATTATTTTTCGTGATTGGGATAAAGAAAAATATTTGGGTATTCACACAATTGGGCACCAAATTTCGGCAAACACCCATCGTGTGACACTGCCTTTAAACTTATTTTTAAACGGATGTTGTTAGTTAAGAATGAACTATAAAAAACTAACCAAAATTAAATAACAACAAAAATAATATTTTAAAACTTGTCAAAATTTGGTGCGGCTATCATTTTTTCGACTACTGTACATAAGTTGACTATTACTACGTCTATTCGCGCCGTATTATTTGCAAAATGGTAAACTTTGCCGTATAAAAGCTGAGTTAATTTTCTATTTGCAAATAACTAATTCACGCAAATAAGTATTGATTAATGGTACTCAGTGGCGGATCCAGCGGGGGCGATTTTGGGGGTTAAACTACGTGTCAGTCAGTGGCGGACCCACGGGGGGTTTTTTAATACATAGACGCCATGTTATACATACATATGCGCCACATTAGAACACCCCCGGTGGGTCCGCCACTGACTGACACGTAGTTTAACCCCCAAAATCCCCCCGCTGGATCCGCCACTGGTGGTACTATTTGCAAATAAGCGCAAGCCGCCGCCATTCTTAGGTTAATTTTCTTTTTCGATGGTCACAATATTAAGAAAGAATTTTTCACCATCGAATAAACAGTGAGTTAGGTATTTGCAAATTATTTTTATTTGCAAATAGCTTACGTATAAACGTAGTATGTATGTATGGTGCCTCGGGGCGTATACGTTACCAACGCAACTACGGGTATCTGAGCATGAGTGGTTATTTTTACTTTTTATACCCGAGCGCACTTGTGCACAGGGTATTATAACTTTGTGCCGCATAACGGTTGTTTGTAACACCCCAAAGGAATCGAGATAGATATAGACAAATGTATACATAAATGATCAGAATGCAAAGAGATGTCGATTAAGCCATGTCTGTCTGTCCGTCCGTCCGTCTGTCCGTGTATACGATACCTCGAGCAAAAATTGAGATAGGTTGTTTTGATTAATCAAAATCTTGATTACTCGAGTAATTGATTAACCGAATAATTGATTAACTAACTTGCTCGAGTAATCGAATAATCGCTCTGCCCTAATGTATATGAATAACTCCTTCACATTTTAAGTTTTTTTTTGTTTTTTTTTAACACAGTTGTGGTATTTTTGGTTTTGCTGAGTTTCTAAACCCCAAAGAGCTTGCACTGGGAATCACTGGCTGGGAAAGCGTGAACAGATGTAGCTGCATTAAATCACATTTCATAGCCGACCTCCTGCCGCGAGATTGCCGATGCCCGGAACACAAGTATAGTGTTTCGTTGGTGCTGTTTGTCAACGCAATGTTATTCTTGATTTGAAGTACATATCTATGTATGTATGTATGTATGTATGCATACATATATGCAGTACAATCTTCAAAGCAATTGCCTATATGTACGAATGTATTTAATTTTCCTTTTATTAATAATTTCAGTAGTTAAAGTTTATAAAACGAAACTAAGGTTAGGTTTTAAATCCTGAAAATAAATTAAAGTTTTGTAAAAAAAAAAAAAAAAAATAGATTAAAATGGAAAAAAGATCTGAAATGTATCAATCGTTTGCTGGGAGAACATAATAGCTCAGATTTCTCCCTATGAACAAAAATAAACAAATATAATAACAAAAAAATATAAGAAGTGATAATTTTCAAGTTATAGCTTCGACTGGTTTGAAAAATTTGTGGTTATTGCGAGCTATGTATGTAAATAGGTGGATATGGAAAATAAATTATTATGTTTGAACAAAATTCTGTTTTCAAAGTCGTGGCTGCCAGCCGAATCGGATCAGAATATTTTTATTTTTTAAAAAATCTCAAATAGTTGAGTAATTAAAGGTCAGACCTATAGCTTTTTAATTATTTGAGCATCGATTCTCTTTACAGTCAGACGTTGATAATTTCTGCTGGAAATCCCTATTGAAGGAGCTTACTCTTTGACTTTAACTAGCAGAGAAGGGACAGTTTTACCACAGAAGTTTTTAGCCAAGGATCCAATGTACATATATCCCTATGAAAAAAATATTGCCCGACAAGTAAACAAAATTACTTTTTTAAAATGTTTGCTAAAAAAAAATTCCCCAAAGAGCCCTCATATGAAATTTGTTTGATAAACTTTTTATATTGAAAAAATGTGCGACACCTTCAACAAAAAAATTCCCCAAAAATCAATGGTAAGTCCTAGCTTCCTCATACTTGCACTTTATTATACTAAAATTGAATGGGCTAAAAAGCTGCATACTCAGTTTTTTTTTCTAGAGAGCGTAAATAAAAAGTGCAATATTTGAATGAAATTTTGCAGAATTTTCTTTAATTTTGCACAAGGTTTGGAACTTTGAATTTTGGGGGTTTTGTTGTAGAATTAACCATATTTTTTATAAAAAAATTTGCGAAAAATAAAATATTTAAAAAATAGTTGCCCATATTGTAAAAAATTCGCTGTACCTAAACTTTATTGACAGACTGTATATACATACATAGAATTGTACGTATGTAACGAGTTCGCGTAATTTTTCAATGTTTGCATTAAAATATCTGTTTATTTCTGCAATTTTTTTTTTGTTGAAGTAGTTGTAGCAATCAAATGTCTGTTTTGCAGCGAAGCTGTTTTCGTTTTTCATTTTATTCTATATTACTGAATGAGAATTTGAATGTACATATGGCCAAATCCAAAAGCATTTGCAGTCAATTTATCTGTATTAAGAAAAATAAAGTATGGATTTGCGGGATACACTGAAAAAAATTTCACTTCAAACTCAAAAAAATGTTAATGAAGCTTTTTTTGAAAGTCATCCGACACTGGCAGTTCATTTATTACGTCGTAATGGACATTAGGTGTTACAATAAAACTCACTCGTATCAACTTTATAATCCTTTTTCTACTTCTCTCCCAATAACTAAAATGTTTGCAAAAAAATGTGTGTAAGTTAAAAAGGATTGATTATAATATATGTATATGTACATACCCTGTGGGAAAAATTTCTAGTTCTGAACCGGGCGCTTCTAGTACATTTAGACCCAGTACTGATTCCCGATAAACCGGCGAATTTAACATGGCGATGTCTTAGGAAGTGTCAATTGCCCCCTGCTACAGCCCTTTTTCGATAGTTTAGAATCAATGCTAAATTCGACAAATAGGATCTAGTGCGCTTTGTATCCCTTTTTCGATAGTTCCGAACCAGTTCTAATTTCTATAGTTCCGAACCAGTTCTAAAATCGACAGACGAAAGAAAAAAATAATCATCATTTTTTCAATCTTTAAATTATTTTGAAAGAAATGTGTGTTCAATTTGAAATTAAATTTGCTTGAATGATTGTAAAAAATGTAAGTTTACATACCTTGGGCTGTAGCTGAGTTTGCAGAGGTGCTTGCTATTATTGATTAGATTCTAGAAGATCCCAAGATGTTAAAATGTTAATATAAATTATTATTTTGTATTACCAAGCTATGTAAAAACATTTGCATTTTTTGTCTAGTTACTATTGGACTGGTTCGTTTTTGGCGATAAAGATCTAGTACAGAACTAGAAATTTGATTCTCTAGTCTGCGGTTTCCCTTTTAAAAATTATTAAAATTTTGAAATTGCTCTCATTATTATTATGTTTGTCAACACAATCAATCGTCCGATTTTTTCAGTGTATGGTTCTTGGCCCGAATGGCAGTGGCAATTGATTACATATATGTAATATGTCTGCACAGCCGTGGTGATGCGTAATGATGAATCTGTGTAACTTTGGCCTGAACGGTGACGTTCGGTGACATCGATTGAAACAGTTCTTAAGGAAGTAGCCGCGCTTCAAATCAATTGTAGAAGTCTTGCAAGAATGTTGTGCTCGAAGCGAAAAGCAATTTTATTATTTTTCACGATGGTATTTGCATTTGCAGTTACACAGACCCAGTCGGTTTATCTAAATCAGAAACAGAATCAGAATAAATTGAATTTAGGCAATCTCGTTAGAAACTTACTAACAAATATGGAACGAAGTGCAGTTTGGGATGAAAATTTGCATTTTTCGCTCATCATTTGCGAGTTTATAATAAAACGTAATATTTGTTTTTTTTAATGTTTTAATATTTTATCGATTTTTGCACCGTTTTTTAAATTCTAACCCATAAATTAGAAAAAGTGCGTTTTTATGAGCCGACTCGTTTCGAAAGCCAACTATACGATGAGATCTTAAAAAGAATTGGTGCATTTCGAGCAAAAATTGAATTATTGAACGACGGAACTGGCAGATTGGCTAATATATTGCAGAAGAGCGTAATGTTGGTTAGGCCTGTAGTTGTCGAAAACCAGATCAACACTGAGTTGGAATATAAGACCCTGGAACGAAATTATGACAATTTACAAGATATCGGATTTCCGAACTCAACTTTTTCAGGTAAGTCACATACATATGTATATATATTCATATGTATATATATGTGCACATATACAGTATTGGTCAATACAATAGCACCCCCATTTCAAAGTGATATTGTTTGCCACTCATGCTTATTTATTTATTTTTAAGAATTTTCAATTAAAATATAGTTCATTCTCTCACCAAACTCACATAAACTCAAGTTTAAAACTTTTTAAAAGACCGCAAAAAAGTGCAACAAAATTTCACCCAAATTTCAAACTTTTTTCTCAGAAGCGGTAGAATTTTTTTGAATACACAGTTTTATAGCCCATTCAATTTTAGTCTAATAATGTGCAAGTTTCAAGTGGCTAAAAATTACCGTTGATTTTTTAGAATTTTTTTCGCCGAGGATGTTGCGGGTTTCTGCCATATAAAAATAAATTGTGTTTAATCGTTACATGGAAGCAAATGAGACAAAAAAAATTCTTAAACATTGGTAAATATGCTCGCAAAACAACAAAATTTAAGTACAGTTTAATGTTTTGGTTTTTAATTCAGTCTTGCAAAATTTTTTTAAATATTCGTTATTCTCCGTTTGAGATAAGGTATTTTTTATCTCTTCAATAACACCAATGTCTTCCGTAAATTCTTAAGAAATTTGCTACGCTTTCTACTATAATTTGCTGAAGTTTGTTTGTGAAGAGTACAGGGGGCACCTTTGTTTTCAACGGAAATATATGCCCGTTCCATTAGTTTGGAAGGAAAGAGTGAAACCGCAGGCTGTAGAATATCCGATGTCAAAACTCATTGGACACTACAATTCACACGCACGAAATAATAGCAATTTATTTCTTGAACGTTTACTTAAAAAATTAAGTTTGGAAACCCTGTATAAGCAAAATAAGCAAAAGCTTAAACTTTTCGGTCCTGGTAATTATGCAGAAATGACATTTTCAGGATAAGTTGTCGAAAATCTGAGCTTTAATTAAATTCCAAGTAGAAAATTCGATAAGCTTTTGTTTCATTGAACTAAAATGACTCTAAGTGAAGAGATGGCTTTTTTCTGTGGTCGAAAGTTCAAAGTTCAAGGGGCCGGTTCTATTAGCACTTGTTACTTCGCCAGAGCTTCACAAACATTGCCTAAAATCCGATTTTTTACACTTCCAAACGATTTTTCTCAAAATCTGGAACTGATGGGAGCTTTACACCACGGAGCGTAAAAAATCTATAAAAAGTAGCTTTCACTTCTGCCTCACCAGAATTAGTGTTCCCATGTGTGTTATCAAATTTAAACTAAAAGTCATTCAAATTATTATTATTTTTTAGATTTCTGCCTGCTACATATTAGCGCCTTGGATAACTGTGATTCCATTGAAAAGGAGTGCCTCCGAGTGATAAGTTCCAATGCACCGTCGTACGGTTACCGGCGAATGCATCAGTATGTTCCCCTAAACA